TAGCCTTTTTCTATTTTTTTTTACATCCCCCCTTTATAGTGCTTCTTTTCTTTTTTATTTTTTTTTTTGATTGTTTGTGTGTGTGTGTGTGTGTGTGTGTGTGTGTGTGTGTGAAATTAGTAGTATAATTCAAATTATTAATCTCTCTCCTAGCGTCTCTCTATTTTCTCATCTACCAAGGGAAGGGCACGACTAAGGGAATTCATCTGGGATCGAGACTTGGTGTAATAGTAGTACGTACTCCTTTAGGGTGTTCACCCCTTAATGTAATTCCGCGGAATGGCCAGTCATTCGGAGAAATCAGCCTTCGAAATTCATGCTTAGCTTTTATACAATTAAAGTTTAATTTTCCTCAACTAGCTTGAGCTCCATGCATATGTATAAAATTATTTACAACATTAAAACTAAGCATAATAAGCATAAATATAAGCTGGTTTTTTTTTTTTTTTTTTTGAGATCTTACAGAAAACGTAAAATATATATGTAATTATATATGTGCAACAATGAACATTAAAAACAGCAGCATTCTACTTATCTTTTAATTAATAATTAGTCTTAACATTGTAAAATTCTGAAAAGAATGAATGGATTGAAATAAATATTATTATTTATAATAATTTTTTGAGTATAACGTCAGTTTTTTTATATCTTTTCAATCTCTCTAAGACATTTATATACCCTTTTTAATGTGTTTCTGTTATTCTTTCAATTCAAGTATAAGTAATAATATTAAAATTATATAATTAATTTCAATTAATTGCATTCAAAAAGATAATTAAGGTTTTATATATAGAGTATATTGCTGGTAATAAATAAAAAAAAATTAATTTTTTTTCCTAAAACTGAAAATAAATTCGTATAAATGCAACTAATTCCAAACAAATTGAAAAATTTATTTAATCCCATGTTTTTTTCTTAAATGAAGTGTCTTAAATTCCACCTAATGATGTCGGATTAAAATTGACAATTTTTTTTAATCATACCACGACGTTGGCTGTTCTCTAGTGGTGCATTTTTTTCTGAAAATAGTAATAATCAATATATTTCACAAACAGATAAAGAAGATATCGGTTTATTGGAGACGTTTGTTCGGTGACAAAAGTAAATTTTAAACTACAGACATTTGATCTCTAGTTATCAGTTGCTAAATCGAAAAATAAAGCTTGGAAGCTTTTCAAATATTATTTTTATGTTTTAAAATATATACAGCTTATAAATGTATTATGATAGTTAAATAATAATGTTTGATAAGTAATGTAACTGCTTATATATATATATATTTTATTTAATTGAAAAATGACATTAATTCAAAAGTTATATTTCTCTGATTTTTAATTTTCTTACTCGCTTACGTATACGACTACTTCAAATTTTCAATACTTCCAAGGCAATGATATTCCTAAAAAGATCGTTAGTTTTTTTTGTTTGTTTTTTTAAATAATATTAATTTATTTTTATATTTAACAAAAGAATTTTAGATAATGTATCAAATGCTATCAAATCTTTTTTCGTATAAAAGTGTCTTTTGAAAAATTAATTTTATATTTTCTTGCAAATTATTTCGTAGTATGATCTGTCTATACACAGAGAGAAGTGAAAAAAACTCACTCACTCTTTCACTCAATACGAGATCTCTAGAACTATTGGACATACAGACTTGGAATTTGTTAGGCCTGTTTCTTTTGCCAAGTAGGGAATCTCAAAGAGCGTATTTTGCGAAAATCTTCCAAGGGGGTTTACGCGGCGTTTTTGATCTATTAGACCAGCAGACTTTAAATTTGTCAAGTATGACTCTTTTGTTATCTAGAGATCCGCTAAAAATGGTTTTGTGGAAATTAACTCGGGGAGGGAAAGGTTATTGGGCATTAAATATAAATATGTTCCATTTTAGTAACGCAAGTACTATCTTTTTAAATCAAGGGGTGAAGATTATGAGAATGTTTTTGAATACAGTTGAATGCTTAGATACCAACAGCTTAAGAAAAACCTTTAGACCTACAGTATCAAGAAATACCGAAAGAAGCGGCTGCGCGGTAGCTATAACAATGTGTGTTTAACCCTTTATCTACCGACGGTACTTATAAATACCACTCACTTTAAAATTACACAGAATAACCATTTTTACGAAAACTCTAGACGATACTTAGCAGGAATATTCTTTTAAATCCACTCTTCCAAGATATATGGCAGCACGGGTTCTATAATGAGTATTTTAGTGGGAAAGGTGAATAGTTTTATAGCAGAAGTTGCGTTTTCAGCTAACGGCGTTTTCTGCGGAATGCGAAGATTCTCATTTTTGTTTCTAAAAAATAGTTAATGTCAAAAGGTAAGAGTCTTATTTTTTTGTACGTTAATGAAGACCTTAGAAAACAATTTGACTATTTATTTTAAGTGAACAGTGTATATAATTAATTTTACAGTTGAATATCTTTAATTAATTCACGATCTCTGATAGATTAAATTTCCAGAAGTTGAGTATTTTGTTCATATATATCCCTTAATTTTCAATGTAGTGATTCAAAAAAAAATATTGCATAAGAAAACTGCAGTACATTATAATGCGGTAGATAAAGGGTTAAATAAATCACTTGCTGTTTACTGATATACTGATAATTGTTCCCTGATTTGTAAAATAAAGTTTGTAAAAAATAATAATTCCTCACTCCTTGTAGCAATGGTTGTATGATCATCTGTAGTAGTAATGCAGGATATGTTGATGTGACTTTCATTTGTGCGGAAGTTCATGGAGTAATAGAAGCAGTAGTTAACATGCCTCGTACGATTGAAGACCTTGAATAATGGAAAGGAATTCGTTGAGGAAAAATAAAATTGATTCGAAAGAAATATGCTCAGTGCAGAAAAGGAAAATCATTGATCTACCAAGAAGCATCCCTTAAACATCTATAAAAGGATACATGGAATATTTTTTTAAAATATTTTACAACGAATTGCATTGAATGTTCTTTATTAAATGTTTTGCAACTAATTACGAAGAACATTTTTTTTAATTTGAATTCAAAATAATTAATTCAATTAATTTGACAAATCGTTTTAATTTTGAGGTACCTAGTCAAGTTCGGTGAGAATTTTGGAAGACTCTGTGGATTATTTTTCAAAATTATTAGAATCGAAGGTACCATTATAATTTTTGAAGTTATACTTCTTTTGGGGCGTTAGAGAAATAGGATGAGGGTAAATTTTTACAATGCGCGCGCACCCCGTCACAGATGTGACGCAGAACCGTCAAGAAAGCGAAAATCCTTTGTCAAGAAATATACAGAACGGGACAAATCATTCCCGCCTTCGAAATCTCAGAAAAATATATCTCTTCACTTCCCTGAAGAAGGGGACACCCTTATTTGAACCGCGGGGACCTCCCAATCTGCAGTCGAATGCTCTACCACTGAGCTATACCCCCGCGTCAGCGAACCTTTGATTTGTGTTCCGTAGCAACGGATACGAAAATACTTTGATTAGAAATATGCAGAATGGAACAGATCATTCCCGCCTTCGACCCCCTCCCCATACCATTGGTCCTATTGTTCCTGAGTGGGGGTGTTTAAATTTATTTAAATCGTGATTATCTCAGGTTTGGCTGGTCCGATTGACTGAAGGTTAGTATCGTTCAACTCTGTTCGTGACCGCCTTTCGTCCTTGGTCCAGCTTGCCCTGCTAAAGATTTTTGGAAAGATTTTCATCTTGTTACGTCAAAGAAGTATAACTTCTTACATGCGTACATAAGTACACACACACTTTTTTTATCACACGTATCCAGAGGATATTCAACCAACATAAAATTTGAATTTAATTCACATCCTTAGGTTTACTTCATGTTGGGGTCATCTAGCATTACGCAAGGACAATTAGTGACAAACATCATACCCTTGTACTACGATCAAACAGTGAGAATCTCAAAAACTATTTTTTTTTTCTCCTACTACGAAACAACCTAACAAGGAAACTTAAAAGACCTAATTCCCTTTGACGTGCAGTAGCCAACATTGTTACGCATAAGTTTTTGAATTCTAACTTAGAATTAATGTTCTAATTCTCGTCTCTATCTCAGTTCAGCTGGATGTAATACTCAAATCTTTAGCGATTCGGCTCCTATAGTGCTAAAGGCTTGTATCTTTGATGAATCAAATAAAAAAAATCAATGTATAATGGTAAACTCAGACATCGTGTTCGATTTATAAGTGACTTTACCGTCAGAATCGTATCTGCTGGCTGAGTATGCTCGTTAACGCCTTTTGTAAAAATGCTTCAGTAATTTGTGTTGATTGATTGTTGATCAAACTCATACTTGGAGGCAACTTAAGGAATCCGACTACGTTCGGAACCGTGATTTTTCAAAAGAGTATAAATGGATAATATTTATGATATTTGGTTTCACTTAGATTTGAATATGTATGTAAAATTGTTTTAAGAATATTATAACAATAAAAAATTATTTAAGTACAATATTTTGACGAAAAATGGACATAGAATGACCCATTTTCAAAATAGTCTCCTTTTGTGAAAAATACTTCTATTATAATAATATTTTGCCTGTATATAGCTCAGACCACTTTACAGAGGTTCAACTAGAATTTTTTAAATATATTGCTTAGAAGTGGATTTATCCATATTTTACGACAACAGAGGGGAGAAATTTTAAGAAAAAACACCTATAATTATTTCAATGGGTAGTAACTCTGAAAATAATATGAAGTTTTCAAAAATTCTAGTTCAGACTCTCTGGAGAAGTCTTTACTTTATATAAGCACACACACACAAAATATTATTATTATGGAAGCATTTTTTAGAAAAGAAGAACATTTTGAAAAAAAGTTATTCTTCGTTAATATTTTGCCAAAATATTGTATTTAAATATTTTTTTTTCGTCAAAATGTTCTTAAGACAATTTTGTACATGTATTCTAATCTAAGTGACACTAAATATCATGATCGGTATCAATTTATGCACTTTTTTAAAAGCGCGGTTCTGAACGTAGTCGGATACCTTAAAGGCTATTGGCGAATTACTTCGTAACAAAGATTAATTGATGTGGACTATATCTGAGATGGCTCTACCTTCTCCAATTCGACACGTCATTGGCCCTCGTGTTGCTTCAAGTGCGTCATAAATCAAAAATCAATCAATTCTATATCATCCATCTGCTACAGTAACCTCCAGCTTTTGTAGTTCTTTGTAACAGTGGGCTTGTAATACCGCCATGATATAATAAGCTTCAATTATAATACTGTTACGAATTTTGTGTAAATAGTGTAAATAATTTGTATTTAAGTGTATAAATAGTGTAAATAATTTGTATTTGAGTGTTTAATACATTTACATCACTCTATGTTATGTTTATTTCATGTTAAAATCGTATCATTCACAAGCAATGCCGCCCCTTACATTATAATGGCAATTCAATGAGAACTTGGCGAAATCTTGGCACTAGAGCCAAGTTGGCATCATTTTTGGTGACCAAGTTGATGGCCAATTTGGCGACCATTTTGGCGTCATTGGCGACCATGTTGGCGAGTTCGGAACCCTCTGGAATCTTCTAGAAAGTAATGGATCTCTCCACTAATGTCACGAGCGGCTATATTTCTGGAAGTTTCGGTTGCGCTTATAAATAAGATGCTCGCCGGGACGGCGGGGAGTCTGGATTAAACCAGCGAGTAGTGAGGATTGTTTTGACTAGCGATTAGCTCGGCTGTGCATGTGAATAATCTTTACTTACGTTTATTTTTAAACACTGGTTATTGAGTTTGATTCCTGTAGAAGGTGTGAAGACCTTTGGATATTTACTTTGTGAATATTGCTGCTGAATCCTGTATTTAAAGGATTGGATTCTTCTTAATAAATTCGCATCGCTCTTAAAGAACTGTTTATTTTCTTTGTGATTGTTTTGCATAAAATCCATGAACCCTCGGATCTACGTAACAATACTTTCATTATTATTCTTTTATACTACAAAACCAGCTATAAATGGACATTTCTTACCCAGTATCTCTTTAAACTTTACAATTACGTAATTATCTATCTGTTTAAAAATATTCTGTGAGGTATTTTTGTGCATTGCTTTGGGTTTTACTTTAAGCTATCTTTTCTAAAATATTTCTTTCGGCAGACACTTCAGAGAGTAAAGTTGATACATTTATTACATAGTTGTGAAATATGGGTAGGGAAACATTTTTGCGTGTGAATGTGCGTGCATAAAGGAATAAGTAAACACGCATCACGTGTAAAACTATTCTAACATGTCAAAACTTTAGTGAAAAAATTGAAAAAGTTATTTGTAGTATACACACTTATGTATCATGTTTTAGTTTGAAATAAATTTGTAACACATTTTTTACATTATGAGATTAAAAACATCTAGAATCTATACAATTTAACAAATATACTTTAGCATTAAGTTATTAAAAATTATTGCAAAATTTTGATGCAAAAAATTTATTACTATTCTTCATAATCATAGATTTTTGTTCTTATCCTGGGTTTTTCAATTCCTACTATTAGTTCACTCTCTCCTTATACATATGAAATATTTCTATAATATTTCTGGTGATTATTAAATATAACTGTAAGACGTGGCGAGTGAATATTAATACTGTAAGGTTGATCATGTTTTACATGATTGGTGTTTATTATTTGAGGGCATTGAAGAGGCAGTCCTTTGAAATAATCTCCAGTTTATTGAGCATTAAACAATTTGCGTTCCAACATCACAAGAAGCAGACATAATGGCACAAAACGAAGAATAAAGAAACTACAATACTACGCAATATAGCAGGCTACATGGTTAAAGACACAGACAGAAGAGAGAAGAGAAGAGAGCGGGATTTCCAGAGTCTCGCTATTTATAGCCAGTGGGACATCACATGATTTGGGGGTGGATGGATGTAGTTTCAAAACTCCCCGTTAGGCGGCTAACTAATTAAAAAAATTAAACGGTTGTCCTGAAGGACTGGACCATAA